GAGGTAATGTTTATATATATATTTGATGACATATTAAAAGCATCAATAATATATGACACACCTACAAGGAGCAGAAGTAAAGTAAGTCTGATATTTTAAGTATTAAGTCAAGATCGAGTGGTGAGTGGCAAGCACTGGTAAGGTACGAGATTTGGGCTATTGCAGGATTGGATCGTGTAGAAAGGCAGTGGGTGGGGTGGGATCAGGTCACTTGGTGCTTGGGAAGATGAAGTTATCGGCGATGGATGGTGAGGATTACTTGAGTGGTAATGTCAGGGAGCCTTACGATCCAGATGCTGGTAGCTGTGACATTGAATGGTACTGATGACCCCTTTTATTTCCAGCTGCGAATCAAACTCTGGCGTCCAGATGACTTGAGAGTTATAGGCTATTTATAAGCTCAGCATATAGCAAAGGAAAAATGATGAAGCATAAACGAGTATTTCTTACCAGCGGATATGTTTTCTTCAACTCCTCATTTAGGCGGTTCAGCGAAATTTTTTTTTTCGAAAGCAGGCGTATCCAGTTGTTGGAAATAAAGTTTATTCTGTTTGATTACGTAGAGTGGGCCACATATCCCTCTTTCAACTGACCAACGCTGGCTCTCTCGTCACAGTACCTATGTAGCTATTATTTCTTGTCCACACAGATGCATTAGCCATGACCGATGATTCACCACTTCTCGCTTAAGCGTATAATTTACCAGAGTAATTTTTGTTTTCTTCACAAGAGCAGGCGCATCAAGTGATAAAAGTAGCCAAAGAAAACATGTATACTATTTTACTATCGAAAACGTATCCTAACGTTGGCTTACTTATTTTTAACTCAGTATCTTGCCAACAAATAGAGTCAGTTAATGCGATAAAGCCATTTTAGGGTGCAATAATAAAGAGGCATAAAGTCAAAAACTCAACATAGATTCATAAGTACTTATTTATTACATAAGTATTGTACATAAGGTGTACATTGAAAAAAGAATATCGTTTACTAGATAGGCTATGCTGGTTCTGGAACAGCTGTTCTAGTTCTGGTGCCGATTTTGGCACAGCTAGCCTCTCATCTCTGGCGTTCGTAGAATGGCTGTATTAGAACCGGTGCTGATTGTAGAACAGGTACCCCTCCACTGCCGACGTTCATTGTTTGCTTCCCCTCGCTAGGTGTTTTAGTGCTGGCTGGCAATACTTTGCTCAGTGATCTCAACTTGGTGGGGGGCTCATGCTGTTGCTCGCGCTCTCAACTTGAGGGTGACTGAAGCTGCTACTATTGATATTTAATTTTTTAAGTCCTTTTACTTCTTAAGTCTTAGATAAACTTTGTGGTATGCAAGTCTTCAAAAGCTCAATTGGCAACTGACTATTTCACTGACATAAATTAGTTAGTTTCTTCTTAAACTGTTGAAGGCTTGCATTTAAAATCTTTTTATTTTTGAATTGAATGTTTTTATACTTCTGTTATTATAAATTGTACATGAGTTGAAAGGAAAGGCATCGAAAGGATAATGAAAAAAAACATAATGTATTAGTTGACAATATTCATTCATGATAAATTTACTGTTATAGTATGTAGCAAAATTTTGGACATTATATTTTATCAGGTCCTATACTGTCGACAACATCTTCAAAAATATTTCATTGCCACCATGATATTTCACATTTAAGTTGTTCGTATGTACAATAATACGTATTACTGTCTTGTCCTAAGATTTTTCAAAATAAGATTTTATTGAACAATTTTTTTAGTAAGCACGGTTTGTGCAGAGCACAAAATAGTGGTTTATTTTTTAAATGCATTTGTACGTATGTAAGACACATAGGAGAAGAGTCTTTATTTTTAAGTTTTTCTAAGAAAAAACACACTCGAAACAAATTGTGATCTTCACGTCCTAATATTGAGCTAACAAACTTAGCTTCCTCATTAACATACACGTATATTCTTCTAAGATTCTTTGCAAGGGTAACAAAATGATATTTCAAATCTTCCATGTCGATATCCCCTTCATACCACTTAATCCCATGACCCTCCAGTGTACAAAAATTATTGTTTTTTTTCACATCATAAGGTAAATCAGTGAAGGCGCAAGGAAGTCTTGGTAACCAATGCTCCACAAAATTTCCTTGCAGTGATACTAATCCAACTTCTTCTTTTAGCATAAATTTTTCAGCAGCATTTAAAAGCCTTGCATATCTATTATATAATCAATGTTATTTTAATCACTGTACTTTTTGATAAGGGTATTTTCAGAAAAGAAGATTTTTCCTTCGTAAAGAAACTGTAAATTGCGTTTCAACTTAAAAGATAAAAACAAAATTTTTATACAAAAATAAAAGGCTTTTTTCTTCTTGAATGGCGCTCGCAAAACTGTTTTACTTTGTAAAGAACTGAGAGAAGAATATTATAGGACTTGTATTTATAACCTCGTGTCATCCTAGCTAGCGACATTTCCTCACATTTTTTTCTGTAGAAGAATACAAGGTCACTAAATAAACAATTTATTTTCAACAACAGATGCGGCATCGGAGGAGCTGATAGAGCCGTGCGAGTGCTCGGGCACCCTGGGCCTCATCCACGCGAGTTGTCTGGAAAAATGGCTATCCACCTGGAACACCGATCGCTGCGAGATCTGCAAGTACACCTTCGCGGTCGAACGGAGGACAAAGTCTCCGCGCCAGGTACGTGTTTATATATATATTATCTCCATCCGCGGCGCGTAAAAGCTGTACATTTATATATACATGTGTATAGGTATGAGGGGCATACAAACGTACACGTAATATCATGCAGAGGGACATGCCGGACAATGCGTGTTTACCATTTACTCGTGATGTACACGTGTACATTGGAAGGTGCACCGGCCACTAAAGCATATATACATGCTATACTCCACCCCCGCGTCACGAGCACGCGCCCGCTGCAATTTCCTCTGTCCCTTGCTCCGCGTGCAGCGTTTTCCTTTGCTTTTTTTTATTTTATACTCGTGTGGTCTGCTACTGTGTATATGTAAATGAATTATTGCGCCGATCGGAACACCGCACCCCGTGTCGTTTTACGTGGGGACATTGTATTTCCTTTTCCCCCAAGGGCCATCGGGGAAATATACCTATTTGTCGGGGAAAATCAGATGCGCAAAATTGTCGCGCCAATGTATTACTTTGCAGGTGGTATATGCATCGCTATAAAACGTCCGTACTCTCTCGCGCCTAAAACGTCCCCACGTATGTGTATATATAATACGGGTATACAATAATCGCCGATCAAGTAATAAAACAAAACGATTATTCCCAGCGCGTGTGTGTGTACGTACAAGCCCCTTATCCGGGCTCCCTGCAATCGGCTGTACCGAGGGTATAATATATCTTTCTCCCTCTCGAAACCGATCTCCTTTTAGAAAGCCATTGCAAGCGCGCTCTTCCGATGCAGCGACAACAAACAACTAAACAATGGACACCCCACCCCCCCCCCCTCTCCATCTCTTGCCCATCGTGACATTACATATGTACACTTTATGTATATATAATACAGATACATCTTTTCCGTATACTTTTACGTGCACGATTGTGCGCTGAATCCTATGGCGAATTATAAATTGCGGGTATATATTATGTATAGTATACATATATGTAATGCAGTCGAAGCGGGCAAAGCCATATGTGCGATAGTATACCTATATACGTCGCGAGAAAGCCTTTTTGTTTTTTACCGCAACATTATGTGCGCAGCGCGTGTGGATCTTTGTATAAGTACAGCGGTAGCGACGCGCTTTGAATTTCAAATGCAGCCGGGAGAAAAAGACAAGAGAGAGAGAGTACACAGCGGAAAAAATCGCGCACGACTTCTCGACCGTCTATGCATATATAAACGTGCTTACATCCATCGTGTGTGTGTTTGTGCGTGCGTGTACAATATATATATATATTTATTTATTCCTAAACGAGGTACAATGGAGTATGTGTATGTATGTATGTATACGTGCATCAGAAAAGATGAAGCTGTAAGATCGGCTCTTTGGCTTTGTGTATACGCGTGTTGTTTGCGCGCCCGTGTATGCATGTTGTGTTCTCCGGGTTGTATAAGAGGGTCCATGTACGGGTGCCGATTAGCGAATCACAAAAGCCAACGGGGGGGGG